AGGGGAGGGGGCGGAGACTTTGGGAGGGGGCGGAGTTGGGGCGGGGGCGGGGCTGGGGCTGGGGCGGGGCCGGGGCCCCCGGGAGTGTCCTCCATTAGGAGGCACAAAATATGGTAACCCTACATCTATCTAGCAATGTCCACAAAAAAGATTTTTATTACAGTGGCTGGTCACAAGAGCTTCCTGCACTAATACTTTGCCCCAGGTGGTGATGAGCTCCAAGGTCTTGGTTAGGCTCCAATTGGCTGCTCAAGTGGAGGCATCTGGAGTATTATTGCAGCTATTGTGGTAAACTGGAATCCAGGAGTGAATGGACAAAATCTGTCTGTGTTGCAGCATTTAAATGTGAGGGAACATGCAGTCAACTTCATCCCAGAGCAGGGGAGGGCACACAGGTAAACAGACATGTCAGCAATGGTTGCCTGCAAAGCACTGTGGGATAGTCGTTAAAAGACTACCAAAGCAGCGCATAGCATCATTGCATGCACATGAACAATACTAGACTAATTTGCTTTGCAGCAAAGGTAGTTCAGTTTGCAACAGGACTCCAGAGTTCATGATAAATGCAGAGTCCATGCACTACAATTAGGTGTGTTGTACATACGCAAGCCCGCGGCAGTGGTCCTGGGGTGGCTGGAGCAGGAGAGGAGAGGAGAGGAGAGGCGAGGGGGGCAGCCCTGGGGGTGGCTGGAGCAGCCTCTTCTTGGCAGCTCCCAGCAGGTGGTGCTGCTGGCCCCCCCTCAAGGGCCCCCCCCCCCCAAGCAGCAGGCCCCCAGCCACCACCACCCCCAGCAGTGACACCCCATCCCCACTAAGATTTAGTCAGGGGAAATTATGGTAAGTCATGGACAGGTCATGGGCTGTGAATTTTTGTTCATTGTCTGTGACTAGTCCATGACTTTTACTAAAAATACCCATGACAGTTGCCTTAATTATCAGACAACTAAAGATTGTATTGTAATGCATGTGCACTAAGGGACTGAGTTAAGGTTACTTGTGTAATCTTAATGTTGCCAATTTTCCATTCTTTAGTGTTTTGCTGTGCAATTTTCACTTTCTCAATGTGTTTTTTGTATGGAATTTCCTGTTTCTTTTCTAAAAGGAAGAGGGGAAAAATAAAGCTACTTCACTCTTCGGGACTCGAAGCTCTGTTGATGTAGCATGTGCAACTTCCATAATATAGAATTACTTGGCTAGACACCAACGGAACATCTTGCCTCATGCACTTTAGGAAGCTCATAGGTAGATGTCATTCTTCTGCAAATATAGGAATTCTGTAGCTGAGGAAGCTTGCTTAAGTCTATTAGAATGGGGCTTCCCCCTCGTTATCCGCCCCCCCCACCTTATAAAGTAGTCAAGAATCTTCCTCAGCTATTGTGCACCTGGTAAGGAGTGCCAAAGTGGGGCTCTTCTCCTTCATTCCTCATTAGGTCCCCAACTGTGGAGACTCCTGGTTTAATGGGGGAGCTTGGGTGGGCCCTGCAGCATAAAAGAGAGGGAGTTGGGAGGTTCTGGACAACAAGGGAAACATTAATATTAAAACTAGCTGTTTGAACTGTGCATAAATTTTTTAACAGTGGCAGGCTCCTAGCAATTAACATGGATGAACTTCATACATTCAGTGAATAAATTGGTGGGAGCCAGGCACAGCTGAAAACCTCATGTATAGGTTGCATAAAGCGTTCTATACAGATGTGATATTTTTTCAACGTAAAGAGTATTACAGCTGTCTGATCCCGGAAACTTTAATTCCTCCAAGTTGCCCAGTCTCTTTGGAACTTCTAGCTACTTTATTCCTCAAGTTCTCACTGCTGGTTCTGAGTATCCATAGATGCAGACGTGCTAAGGAGTGTTGGGTGGGAGACCCACTCATCTGATGGGTACCTGCCAGGAAAGCTTAGAACTCTGCTGTGTAGGTACATTCTTCTGTAAGCCTGCTGGAGTTGCCTCCTTGGCTCTCATCCAGGAGCCATCCAAAGGTTGGGTCAGCAACAGCCTCCAACCTTAAAAGGCCCACAAAAAGGGAAGAAAAGGTGCTCCACAGCTGCACACCTCAGAATGTAGGGGAATCGCTATGAACAGTGACCCTCATAAGATATACATTGTGGATAGCTGTAGCCTTAGCTAGCTATGCCTTCAGTAACTTTTCAGATACATAGCTATGGATCTGATCCTGCAAACACTTATGCATGTGAGTACTACCATTGAAGTCAATAGGATTATTCACATGCTTAAAGTTGAGCATGTGCATAAATGTTTCAAGGATTGGAACCTACATTAAATGTATTTACGCCTTCCTTGGAGCTATGTACTTTGAACTAAAAAAAACTATCACCAGAATATTAAGAAGTACCTTTGAATAAAGACTATTCTTATACCACATTTCAACTTTCTTCCCCTAGCTGTTTTAGCTGTAACACTGTCCAAAAAAAAATCACTTTTTTTGCTCAAACTTTCTCACTCTCATTCACAGTTAGGAGAGACCAAAAATTAAACCTTCAGCCTGAGAGGTTATTTTAATGGTGGTAAAATGGAAATTGTTGTTTAACATTAACTATTGTGCTTCCTTTCACACCTGCTATGATATCCCAGGTCCTGTTTTTATAGACAATAACAGAGTTATTAAAAACGTACCTTGAAACTGTTCTATTTTTATTAGGGCGGTCAAGCGATTAAAAAAATTAATCGCAATTAATTGCACTGTTAAACAATAATAGAATACCATTTATTTAAATATTTTAGATGTTTTCTACATTTTCAAATATTTTTATTTCAATTACAACACAGAATACAAAGTGTACAGTGCTGACTTTATATTTATTTTTGATTACAAATATTGGTGCTGTAAAAAATAAAAGAAACAATATTTTTCAATTCACCTAATACAAGTACTGTAATTAAATCTCCTTTATCATGAAAGTTGAATTTACAAATATAGAATTATATACAAAAAAACCCTGCATTCAAAAATAAAACAAAGAAAAAAAATTTGCACCTACAAGTCCACTTATTCAGCCAATCACTAAGACAAACAAGTTTGTTTACAGGTGCAGGAGACAATGCTGCCCGTTTCTTATTTACAATGTCACCTGAAAGTGAGAATAGATGTTCACCTGGCACTGTTCTAGCTGGCACTGCAAGATATTTACGTGCCAGATGCGATACAAATTCATATGTCCCTTCAGCATGGGTGAAAGTAAAATGGAGCTCTTACTGGTATGGGGCCAGTTCTGTTTCCCCCTCTCCCCCAGAAGGTGCGGGGCCTTGGGCTGAAGGGAAGGGGCTTGGGTCAGTGTCCCCCAGCCTGTCCATCCATGCTGCCTGGCCCACACTGCTCGGGGCTCCAGCGGTGATTTAAAGGGCCCGGCAGGGCTGCCCATGGGCAGCGCAAAAGGGGCAGCGACATTAAAGCGCTTTAAAGCACTGTGGCAGCCCTTTAAAGTCAGCAGTACGGGCCGGTGCTGGCAGCTACTTTTTACCGGTATGCCATACCAGCCCGTACCACCTTACTTTCACCCCTGCCCTTCATGCTTCAACCACCATTCCAGGGGACAGGCGTCCATGCTGATGCCGGGTTCTGCTCAATACGATCCAAAGCAGTACAGACTGAGACATGTTCACTTTCATCATCTGAGTCAGATGCCACCAGCAGAAGGTTGATTTTTCTTTTTTGATGGTTCAGGTTCTGTAGTTTCTGCATCAGAGTGTTGCTCTTTTAAGACTTCTGAGAGCATGCTCCACACCTCGTCCCGCTCAGATTTTGGATGGCACTTCAGATTCTTAAACCTTGGGTCAAGTGCTGTAGCTATCTTTAGAAACCTCACATTGGTACCTTCTTTGCATTTTGTCAAATTTGCAGTGAAAGTGTTCTTAAAACGAACAACATGTGCTGGGTCATCAACCGAGACTTCTATAATATGAAATACATGGCAGAATACGGGTAAAACTGAGCACAAAACGTACAATTCTCCCTCAAGGAGTTCAGTCAAAATTTAATTAACGCATTCTTTTTTTAACAAGTGTCATAAGCATGGAAGCATGTCCTCTGAAATGGTGGCCGAAGCATGAAGGAGCATACGAATGTTTAGCATATCTGGCACATAAATACCTTGCAATGCCAGCTACAAAAGTGCCATGTGAATTCCTGTTCTCACTTTCAGGTGACACTGTAAATAAAAAGCTGGCAGTATTATCTCCCGTAAATGTAAACAAACTTATTTGTCTTAGCCATTGGCTGAACAAGAAGTAGGACTGAGTGGACTCGTAGGCTCTAAAGTTTTACATTGTTTTGTTTTTGAGTGCAGTTATGTAACAAAAAAAATCTATGTTTGTAAATTGCACTTTCACGCTAAAGAGATTGCACTATACTACTTCTATGAGGTGAATTGCAAAATACTATTTCTTTTGTTTATCATTTTTACAGTGCAAATATTTGTAATAAAAATAATATTAAGTGAGCATTGTGCACTTTGTATTCTGTGTTGTAATAGAAATCAATATATTTGAAAATGTAGAAAAATATCCAAAAATAGTTAATAAATTTCAATTGTTATTCTATTGTTTAACAGTGCAATTCATAATTTTTTTAGTTTATTGCATGAGTTAACTGCAAATAATCGACCGCCCTAATTTTTATAATAAGAAAATTGGCCTCCCATGTTCTCCTAGTTTTGACTTTTTTTTTTAAACACATTTGGCTTTCTTTGATGATTTTTTCCAGAACTTAACCTTACCATTCCTTGACGTCCCAGTTCAGCATCTCTTGCTGTGAGAATCCAGGGTCTCCATAATGTAGGGTTGCTGAAAGTTTAATGAAGAACAACACACTCTCATAGATAATTCTTTATGATAATAAGCACATTTCAGTGCAATGACAGTTATCTTCATTACATGCTATCTGTGCCTTTGAAATAAGTTTATTCTTGTCTCAACACATTGATGTGGGTAAATGTGATTTCAGTAGTAGATATTATTCTGCCTGTAGGCTTCTTCTCTATGTGCTGTCAGTTTACATGCACTAAAATTAATATCAAAGGAAAGTCTGAACTGGATAAACAGTTACTCCCACATATTAGCTATCGGTACAATATTAATTGATTTCACAATCCAAGTGGCTCACAAAGGGATTACACTTAAATCAATTTTTAGAATATTTAATTTCTAGAATATACTTAACTTCTTATGAATCTTATTATTCATTAAATAAATTAGGTAATTTATTGAATTGTACTATCCCAATTCCTCAGTGACATGAGGAAGAGCTCTGAAGCTTGTCCCTTCCACTAACACATGTTGTTCCAATAGAAATTACCTCGCCTACCTTGTCTCTCTGACATCCCAAATAGGTATTCCTAATTAAAGTGGATTACACCTGGTTTTGCATGTTCAACTTGATTTTTTTTTTTTGCTTATATGTTGATCATAGGGTGGCTGATCTATTTTTATTAAGTTAGCAATTTATTGCATTAAAGTGATGCTGCTGACTTGAAATCTAATCAGTTTAATAAAAATGTCAGCAGTTTCAGGTACTACACCAGCCTCTTTCTCCCCTCTAATATTTTTTTAGTTTTACAACCACATTTACCTATTTTTAAATGTATTTTCTCTCCTCTGTTTCTAAATACCCACACAAAGGGGAAAGAGTGAAACTGATTATACTCTAACTGCTGTCAAACACTCAAAGTAAATAAACTGAAAAAAACAGTTCTTATCTTTCAGTTAAAGCAACCTTATTTGTAACTAGAGCTGAATGAAAAAAATATCATTTGGAAACCTACAAATAAAAAGGACAATTTTTTGCAAAAATAAAAATTCTGACTCGCTCTGTAATATGTTTTTAACATGTAAAAATAGGCGATAAAACAGACGTGCTTTAATTTATTTTAAGCTGATAGTTCTTTATGGTGGAGTCTGTTTCCAATCAGCTATTTGAGAAGGTCACATTGAATATGGGCAATGTGCATTTAAAGTCTAAACAACGAGATAGGCTAGCTATTTCAATTACTTTGTTCTGCTGCCAAAGGAAGTGGTATGGATCCCACAGTGTAGTTTAGCAGGTGGTGTTATTTTAATGAAAAATTTTGTCAATAGTTAGAGAGAACACAGAATTTCTTCTCCAGGGTCTGAATGCCTGCCTTTATGCAAGTCCTGTCTTTGCCCATTGTAACTACATAGTATTTCTGCTAGAGATTTTTAAAACTGGGTTGTTGAGGAAGCATTTCTCCTTTCCTCTGTCTTACCTTTCTGGCTGTTCTCTTGGATGGAGAGAATGCGGCTGGATATCTCTGGCAGAGTGACAGATCTGAGTCACTGTAGTCTGCAACAAGAATTTAGCAGCTGCAGCCTCCATAGTGCTTGCCTGTCTGCTGTTTTGTGTTCCTGTGCCTGGCTGGCTAGTTCTCTAGGCATTTCAGCTCCTCCTTTATTGCAGCCACTCAGGAGTACTTACCTAAAACAAGCAAGCCTTCAGGTAAACGGAGGGAAATGGCCTTAATGAGTTCCCCTCTGTCTCCTCCAACTATTTCAAAGTTTTCCTGTTGTCATGGTGTTCTATGAAGAGTGTAATAAATACAGTACTTTAGTTTACTTTAATCAGCACATTATTGTGGAAATAACCTAAACTGTTTATCTTTCTGCCTTTGGGATGTTGTACTGCATCTTTTTACCTATTTTTGTTTTATGTGAAGTACACTGTGTATATATGACTTTGTGTGTAAATAAAAATTATGTAGGAAAATCTTCAGCCTCAAATATCTAACAAAACAAATGGAAAAAGTACCAATCCAGTTCACAGGTGACTTTAAAAAAGACCTTTGTTTTAAAATTACAAAACAGTCTGTCAGTTCCAGATTTCAAAAATGGAAAAAATACCAGGGTAAAGGAAGATGAGAACTTAAAATGCAAACCTAATGACTGCTTTAAAAACAGAGGATGTTACTTTTTAAGCTTGATCTGTTTGGTCATTAGGAGGAGAAAGCTGATGCTAAGGCCTTGGCTACACTGGCGATTCACAGTGCTGCACTTGCTGCGCTCAGGGGTGTGAAAAAACACCCCCCTGAGCGCAGCGAGTGCAGCGGTGTAAAGCGCCAGTGTAATCAGCGCCTGCAGCGCTGCAAGCTATTCCCCTCGGAGAGGTAGAGTACTTGCAGCGCTGCGAGAGAGCTCTTGCAGCGCGACTACACTCATGCTTCACAGCCGAGGCAGCGCTGTGAATCCGCGAGTGTAGCCAAGGCCTAAGAGAGAATACATCCTCCAACAAAGCGTGCTTGGTAATGAATGCCACTGCTTTGGGGTCCTGCTGTTTCACTGCATATAATACATATTTTAAACTACCAAGGCTAGATAGGAATAAACCTCTTCTAAGCTTTCCTGCCCATTGCCTTAATTTGGACCACTAATTACACACAGACTATTAATAAATTAATTAATTAATTAATTAATGGAGATATCCTATCTCCTAGAACTGGAAGGGACCTTGAAAGGTCATTGAGTCCAGCCCCCTGCCTTCACTAGCAGGACCAAGTACTGATTTTGCCCCAGATCCCCAAGTGGCCCCCTCAAGGATTGAACTCACAACCCTGGGTTTAGCAGGCCAATGCTCAAACCACTGAGCTATCCCTCCCCCCCTTGCATTTGGTAACATTACCTGATTTTCACTGCTATGGAAAATCATCACATTTGCTCACTTTACAGGTTAAAATACTTATTTTCCTACCTGCCATCCCTGCAGCTTAAGTTGGATCTGATAGTGAATCTGACTTCCTTCTAGCTTTTGCACCATCAGAAGTAATAAATGTTCTGTAGCTGGTGCTTAGGAAAAAAAAATCTCTTGAGGTGTGAATCAGAATAGCATTTAGCTCATTCTTGTATATTTTTGTTAGGACTGCAGAGCTAACAGTGTGTAAACAATAGTTTTGTTTTTTTTTAACAAAGTAAGCAGATCACTTTGAAAATATACAGGGATTGGATCTGTTGAGCAGGTGCCATTTTTACATTCACTTTTCTTGCTGTAACCACACATCCATAGGCTGTCTGTGGTAAGTACGCAAACTTTAGGATTAGAAACATAAATTATTTCAGCGCTGCTCTAGGGATTGCTGAGGATGCCCAGTTAAACTTGCACAACCTACATCTGCCCCCTCATGCATGTGTGTTACACTAGTGTTTAATTGCATGAATACATAACATTTCTCAAATAATGGTGTGTGTGTGCATATATATACAATTTTCTACCACTTTAAATACATGCATGGCATCTTGTTCTGTGCACTATACGTTGTATGCCAATAAAGGGTCACGAACAACTTGTATGAAAAATACAGTGAATGGTATTTAAATAACAATGTACTAAGTATACAACATGGAATAAAAGCAAAAATCTGCTGGCATATCTAGGCAACCTAAAATAGCACTTACTGGCCCCATTCACAAGGTACTTAAGTGTGTGCCTAACTTTAAGCACATGAATAATTTCATTTATTTTAATTGAATCAGGGTCTACATTAGCTTTGTTGTCAAATGCCTACTAAGAGAAGTTGTGCTGCTAGTTGAAAAGGATAGCTGATGACTAAGTCCTGGATCATGCAATCAGAACCATATAGGTGGATTCTTGGGCTCATGTGCCCAATTACTTCAGTGAGACTTTAGCTCAGGGGTGGGCAAACTTTTTGGCCCAAGGGCCACATCTGGGAATAGAAATTGAATGGCGGGCCATGAATGCTCACAAAATTGGGGTTGGGGTGAGGACTCTGGTTGGGGGTTTGGGCTTCGGGGTGGGGCAAGAAATAAGGAGTCCAGGGTGCAGGCGGGGGGTGTGGGCTGGGTCGGAGGAGTGGGGTTGTGTGGGGGTGAGGGCTCTGGCTGGGGGTGTGGGCTCTGGGGTGGGGCTGGGGATGAGGAGTTTGGGGTGTAGGAGGTGCTCTAGGTTGGGACCAAGGCATTCAGAGGGCAGGAGGGGGATCAGGGCTGGAGTAGGGGGTTGGGGCATGGGGAGAGGTCCACGGGTGCAGGATCCGGGCAGTGCTTACCTCAAGTGGCTCCTGGAAGCAGTGGAATGTCCCTTCTCTGGCTCCTACATGGAGGCGCGGCCAGGCAGCTCTGCACACTGCCTCATCCACAGGCACCGCCCCTGCAGCTCCCATTGGCTATGGTTCCCGGACAATGGGAACTGCAGGTGCAGCGCTTGGGGTCGGGGCAGCGTGCAGAGCAGAAGCCCCTGGCTGCCCCTACACTTAGGAGCCGGAGTGGGGGCCGTGCAGCTGCTTCCAGAAGCCTTGTGGAGTGGCCTTGGACCCTGCTCCCCAGCGGAAGCTCAAGGGTGGATTAAAACAGCTGGTGGGCCGAATCCAGCCCGCGGGCCGTAGTTTGCTTACCTCTGCTTTAGCTGGTAGCAAGAGTCTCCGAATGTGGATCTTACTGCAGGATCAAGGCCCAAATTATTAAAATACAGTCCTTAGCATGAAGAAATGTTACCATAAAACAAATCTCCCAAAGATATACAGGACTGCTTTGATTACAGTGCAAGTATAAATTTTTAACAAACCTATTACTCTGTGCTACACATCTGTATTTAAGGTTGTAGAAAAATGTGAGGTAACATTGCCTTATAGCAGTGGTTCAGCAAAGCACTTAATTATGCGTTGAACTTCAATTGCATGGTTTGTTTCATTGGCTTCAGTGGACTGTTGACATGCTTAGTTAAGATTGTATTTGCATTTTGCAGCCTTAACTTTGCATTTCCTGACTTTTGAGTGCTTACTTATGTAGCCATAATCTTACTGCATTTTTAGTATGGATTTTAATAGTTTTGGTAATTCAAAACTTTTGTTAGTGCTGTTTCCTAACCCTAATTTATTAATCTTCAAAAGAAAGTCAGGCTGCACAGGATGATTGTGGAGGGATAACTATGGGGACTCTTGAACTCTAATTGGCTGCATAGTTTTTTAAAAGTACGTACTCTGTTCTCACAGATAAAAGGCAAGTAGAGTTCTGCAAGTGCAAGAATCGTTGAAACAAGGCAAACAAAATCAGAAGAATTTGTAATCTGAAATACTGTATCTCTTTAGAAACTGTAATTTTATTTTAGAAATACGTTTTGTTTTGTTGATATACATCTACCATTTGTTGCTTAGACACATAAACAGTAAAGAGGTTAACCCCTAGGGTTTCCTGACTATCCAGGAAAGCACCACTAAAGCCCAAACATTGAGGGACTAGACTATTGTTACATAAACAGTGCTGAAGACCTGCAGAGAAATGATCATTTCCTTTACCTCTGTTTAGGCAGATAGTATATCCTGTTACTCACATCACAAAGTAATCTACCCCTCTGAATTGTCTTGTATATACATCACTTCCTTAATACCAATATTTTATTTAATTCCTAATAATTTGTGGGGGGAGAGGGCGGGGAGTGATTCCAAGAGTGGAATGTGTGGACTGAGGAAAATAGCTTATTCCTGTAAAATGGTACTAGCTGTAAAAATGCTTGAGTTGGCTTTTTTTTAAAGTCCGCATTAATCCATTTGCAGTTTTCACATTTTTAAGAAGGGAATATGATTACAATGTAACTGTGTTTTATACAAGTGTTAAATTTTGGTGAAGTCTAATGAAGGTAAGGATGTGCAATCCCCATCCAAAGCATTTTGATTGTTACAGTTAATGTTTATCTGTTCATATGCTATTCCGTGCAGTGGGGTGAGGATGGGGCATTTCCCATACTTTTGATATTGTCTGAATGTAACTTTGATAGAAGGGCCTGATTTTGACTTCACTGAGATTTACAGGTGCTCTGTACTTGTCAGGATCAGACCCTAACTCTGTTTTATTGGTATTTGGAGACTTTGCTTCAGTATGTGGCTTTATTGCCTTTGAGGAGAAAAACGTAAATTTATCTACATTCTTTTGAATTTAATTGATGATTATGTTACTAGCCACATCTTTGCATAAATCCTCACTACTCAGTATCCTTTCTAGTGAAAAAAATATTTCACCGGGGAAAATAATGCCTTTCCTTCAAATCATGACCTCAAGGACAAAAAAGCACTGGATTTGATTTGGGAGCATCTGCTACTACCCATGTATCTCTTGGGAGCAGTATTGTTCAGTTTCAAGGTGCAGATTCTTACTGCCTTCAAAATACATATTTGCTGTGAGGTAGGTGGATGGGGGTAATCCTTTGGCTTCAGTTTCTCATAAAAGAATTAGAATAATTTTTGCACCTGGCATTGATAGTAGCTGTACTGTAGCTATAATTGTTCGTTAGGGCTCTGATCCTGCAAAAGCTTATGCATGTGTTCATCTTTATGCAAGTGAGTAGTCCCTTTGTGGGATGACTACTTACATGCATAAATGTTTGCAGGATTGAAAAAAATACTCTGGATTTAAACAGGTGCAACTGAGAACAGAATATAATCCTA